GTTCCCCCCCCCCCCCCCCGACACACACAGTCCCATTGAACGGGCTAGTCCATTTCTGCTCATCCTAGCTCCCCTTTCGTCCCGTCAATCCGACCGAACCTAACCTAACCTAACGTAACCTAACCTAACCGGCAGCGTACCCCCGCCCACCCGGCTTCTTCCATTTTTTTCTCTCTCTTTTTCTCTTTCTGTCTCTCCTCCATTGTGTTTCGCAACGGCAACCGAGAAGAAAAAGAGTCAGATTCAATCTCGCGAGAGCAAACCATGACCTTAACTGGGTTCCAGGCAGCACGTTGTGTCGTGCAACTAGCCGGCAGGCTGTCTCTGCCGCGACAACGATCTCTCCCCCGACTCCCGGCAAAATAGGTTTACGCCGCTGGCGTAACGACTTCTCCCCTCGAGTCGAAACACGCTAAAACGGAGAGACGCTTTTCCCGAGAAACGCTCGTCCGTCCCACCGATGAAGAATCGCGAGACTTTTTACCTCGCGCCGCTTTTTACCTGGCGAATTTCGGTCATCCTTTCCTCCTCTCGTCGACCCTTCTTTTGTATCCTCTGCCCTTTGTCGAGGTTTTCAATCGGCGAGCGATCGGCAAGCGGTGTAAGCGGCGATAAAAATTGACGATGGACCTCTGACAGTCGGGAGACCGAATGAACCGCTGAAAACTCGCGAACCTAACTCGGGTCGATCTAGATGGGCCGGAATAGTCTCGGTCTTGGGCTTCCGGTAGGGCTACCAAGTAGCCGAGGATTCAGAGGCTGTTATCGCTCGGGATCCGAGGAATCAGATCACAATGAAGGACCGGGCTCTCCCGGGCGGCTGTTTCTTGTTCCCAGATGAGCGCCGCACACAAATGGGAGGTTTTCACGTACCTGACGCCAACGTTCTGCGACCACTGCGGCTCGATGCTTCACGGTATCTCGCATCAGGGGCTTAAATGTTCAGGTAGCTAACACAACAAACTCATTCAAATCAAAAACAAACAAACTCAGAAGTCCGCAAAATATACATTTTCTCACGAAGTGGCTAGATCTCGCACGCGTTTGTCTCTTCACGTAGTTATCTTCCGTGTAATACGTAACTACAAATTTGCATTCGCCTAGAATTGAAAGAGTAGAAACAGTCGTAGGTACCTTTTTTTATCCTCCGTCGCTCGCGACTCGCTCCTCTCGAGCGTTATCCCCTCTCTCTCTCTCTTTCTTTCTCTCTCTTTCTCTCTCTCTCTCTCTCTCGTCGCGTATGCCGCGTTTCAACCATCGAAACACGCTCTCCTTTCTCTCTCTCTCTCTCTCTTTCTCTCTCTTTCTTTCACGGATAACCACATCACAATTTTCTCAAATCCGTTTTCCTCGTTTCTCAGTCAAACGATTCGGCGATTTTTCTCTCTTACGTATGTGGTTGGTATATATACAAATCATTATCAGCTGCCGCTGCGTGACTCGTCGAACAAAAATCCGTTCCCCTTCGATCGCCACCTAAATGTCCAAATGAGATAATGCAATACTCGATAAATAAGCTTCGCTTCTGCGTCTCACCGTCACTCTCCTTGCAGTCTCCAGCCTCTCAACGTTCAACAGCTTGTATCTTCTCGGCCTCTCGAAGAACCGCGCACCACGAGGATCACAAAGTTTCAGAAAATTCTCGCTCGTCCATATCGCCGATCCTGAATCGCCTTCCCCCATATGTTTTCTATCTTCGTTTACTCTCGACCCAATCTTTGGAAGCCTCGTTTGAAAACTTTTCGTCGCTGTTCTAAGTTAATTGTAAAAATTTGATGCCGCGAAGAAGCGAGGTTATCCACGACTAACTGCATGACGAACCTATCCACTTTCACCTATCCACTGCGTGTTTTCCTCGTCGTGGCGATTTACCATCTTCTCTCGTCAACTACGTTTCCACAGTTCCTCCCCTCGTCGCGACTTTGTTTCAATCGTTGCGATCGTCCTCTTCTCTTCTATTCTTTGTTAAATATCTCGCTCTTCGTTAGCCTACATCCGTGAATATGTTCCCGAACGAGACACGACGATTACGGTGTACTCTCGTAATTCTCGTTCCCTTATTTTTCGACTGTTCGTCGAAACTAGCCTATGTTACACTGGACACTGGTACCGTGTACGTAAGTAGGTAAGTCGCGCATTAAGTCAACGATTTTTTAAATTATCCTACGTATACCTGATTCGTAACGCCAAAAGTATTTCGATCCCTGCTCTGTGTCTCTTGTTATAGTCTCTGTATCCGACTCTGTTTGTTTACCTGTCTCTGTCTCTCTGTCTCTCTGTCTCTCTCTCTTTCTCTTTCTCTCATTCTCTCCTTCCTTTTTTCTCTGTTTTTTCAACAAGAACCCCGCCGTTGTGCTCCGTATCTTCGCTCGATGATTGTCGGTAATTGCTGCACTACTCATTTCTGCGTTGCAGAACGTAGCCCGTCCCGTTCAAGATAGAAAGGGGGAACCCTAGCACATGGTTGTTTCGCCTATTAGCTCCTCCTCGCTTGCTTATCCCCCTGTTGCTCTTTCTGCCATCCTCCCGTCGCACAGTCAGGAGAGCTCCTTTCAACTGTATTTTAAAATATACTTTTTTTAACAACACCCCATGCGTACGGTAGTAGTTGTCCGCGATATTGTGTACATACATACGATACACGATTGCTACACGATTTGTACATACGATTGCATGCACCGATGTGATTATCGTAATACGTGTACACACGTAGATTTGTTTTCTGCTCATTCAGCGAGTAAACGTGAACGCAGCAACTACCCTTTCTTTTTTTTTTTTTTTCCTCGTTTTTTTCGTTGGTTATGCGATCCCTCTGACTGCACATTGTTGTTGTCCACGGATCAAACGCAGCACTCGTACGCGATGTCAGACTTTGTTCTAATACACTGCTGTCCGTACACACACTTGTGTATGCACGATGCATACGTATCTGCGCGTGACGCGCGTTCGATGGAATTTCTGTAAATTAGTCGAGTTAGTTTATTCTCAACGGTGATTGGCATACGCGCGGAACGATACGTCAATGCCTACGTAGATACAGTAGTGCCCACTTAAGCGTCTGCAATTGGGACCGAGAGATGACGCTCAAGCGGGGAGGTGTGTGTTCCGCGAATTGCGCCGAAATACCGGTACCATGTCACTTGCTTTGTATTCTCATGCAAGTGTCTCTGCTTTTGGCAGATCGCACGGTAAAGTAGGTTAGAGTGAGATAGTCCCAATTCTAAGAATCGGCGAGGCGTAGCGACGGACGTTTAAGTTGGCACTACTGTACGTAGATACGTATGTACGTTTCACGATCTCTCGTTGTTGTCTTTTTTTTTTTCTTTTACGCGTTCTCTCTCTCTCTCTCTCTCTCTCTCTCTCTCTCTCTCTCTCTCTCTCTCTCTATCGATATCGACCTATGCGTATCGTGTAGACAACAAATACTGGACAATAATTAATAATCACCTGTGTTCAACAATCACACGTCGTTTGTCGTAGCTTGGCAGCTTGTACTCGTACACACCACTTCTCGCAGTCAGGATTACGAGGCCGATTATCGACCGATCGATCTTACGCGCCATTGCATTTCGTTTGACGCGCTCGCGATAGTACTCAGTCGATAATTTCCTCGTGATTCGTGCAAACTTCCTCCGTATACATATTACGATCTGAGCACGAACATCCGTCGACCGAGCATGACGAACGGTACCGACGGTTGTTCGTCGAGTTTCGCGCGTGTGCACTTTCGACTGCAGCCGCGATCGCGCGTCCCGAATCGTCGTTTTTTCCATTTTCGGGGGAAAAACGAGTGGAAACGGTGAGGAAACACGTGTTCTCGGCACGAGAGAGAGCACGTGCAACGTTCGAGTAGCGCGAACGTAAACATTGCCGCGAACGAGATGAGAATCGAGTCTCGGGAAAAGAGGAAGAGAGAAAGAAAGAGACGGTCGACAGCTGCAGTTTCGATAACGAGTCAATCGCGTGAAGAACCGCGTCGCGCCCCCTGTCCTGCATCCAGCTGCTCGAACAGAAATGATTTTTAGGCACAAACGCCAAGAAAACGTACTAAACAAAAAAAAAAAAAAAAAAAAAAAAAAAAAAAAAAAAAAAGAAAAAAAAAAAAAAAAAAAAAAAAAAAAAAAAAAAAAAAAA